AGATCTTTGACGATCAGTGCTACATTGTACTCACAATATGTATCTGTCTTTAAATGTATGTCATAGAATTGCACCTGAAACACATGTATTGGTAGCATTAAATAATCCATATATCAAAAGCCTAAATGTTTTTGATGCAACTTCATCACTATATAACACATGCTGCTAGAATATAATTCCCTAAAACTAAGCCAGAAAAAGCTTTTTACATTTTAATCAATCATAGAAATTAGATGCAATCCAATTATTTTACATATCCAACTGTGAAATCTCATTAAAATCCTTAATATTGAGTAATAAAACTACAATAAAACTCTTTCTAGTTTTTTTTTTTTCAGTGAGTTTCCATTAACATTAAAATACTGAAAGAGAAAAAACTTCTTACTCCATATTTTCCTGGTGGATTTTAAGCTGCCATCAATGTACATAGGCATATACTGAACACATGGTCATATATACATATGTATACATTTGTATACACTTAGAAGAAAGAAAGGGAACATAGTAGCTACGAGTGTCTTCTCACACTGCTTACCATTGGATAGAGCGCTGGTCTACCTGCAAACCCAGCCTCTGACATTTGCCAGGTAGACAATCAGAACAAGTTAAATCAGAAATGCAAATGCTTATACAGCCTAAAACACCCTTTAACCACATTGAATTTGAAATACTCTTTGTTCTTCAATTAAATTATCTCTGCTAGAAAGACAAAGAGTACAGGAAACACAAATAAGCAGAGGCAGGGTGAATAATTGCTTTCTGCTATTTCTAGATTGATTAAATGCAATACGCATCAGCATCCTCTCCAATGGCAGAATTCCCATTCCTTTCACTGACAGCAAAGCTGTCATTTCAATTTCCAGAATGTCAAGGCAAGGAAAATGGAGGAGGGAAAGAAGAAAAAGGAAAAAAAAAAAAAAAAAGAAAAAAAAAGAGGGGTAAGGAGGGTGGGAGAGAACAGTAAGAAACATCAAACAAAAAGCAATCTAATTAAAGTACCTGACTGAACTAAATTCTTATTGCTAACTGTAAAGTTTGCTTCTTAGTGTTATTTTCATTGATTTGCCAATATATATATATATCTAAAGAGTACACTTAGATCAAATTGATCATTATAATTTATTTGGCAACAAAATAATATATTAGAAAGACCTTTCTCCTAGTAAATGGCTCCAGCTTTGATGTCTGATTGTTATGCAAATTCTGTGGAGTACCAGATACGGACAGAGACATAATTAGGCTCAGGGTTTTGTATATAATAATTCTCACAACTGAAAACATATCCTTTTTTACGGTAATGATGTGTTTTTGCACTGGAAACCAAACCCGTACATTTGTGAGGACAGGAGAGCAGTGGGTGCAGCCTGCACCCCACAGCTCCCCACGGCTGCCCGGAGCCCGGGGGGATGAAGCTCCCAGCCCAGCTTTCATCACCAACGCACAAACTCTTGGAAAACAAAGTGATCTTTGTTCTGGAAGACAAACATTGGCCGTATACATATATGTATTTCACAGCACTCAATTAGAAACTGAACTTTGCCCCTTTCTCAGGCTTTGAAATCCTCCTGCGCCAAACACGGGCTTGTGCTCTCCGGTTGTGTGGGCACTCCTCACACACACCATATGGCCCCAGACCCTCAGATGAATTCTGCACTGATTTATGGCCCCTGCAATCTGAGGCACTGACCTGCAGCATAAATCTGGCCTGGGATGTGCACCGAGGGGCAGCACACGTGCGTAGCTTGTGTGTTGCTCCCATGCTGGCTCTGCTGAAGGGCACCGGTCACCATGGGCAAAAGGCAATGGATTTTACACACTGCGTTGCGTGGAAACAACAAGAAGATGAAGGCAATGGACACAGCACATCAGAAAGGCCCTCAGAAATGGGCCCTGCCCAAGGCTGATGGTGGAGGAGCTGCAGGGGGGCACCGTTAGAGCCTGGCACACCCTGTTGAGGGCAGTGCCTGAGGTGCTGACTGGCTCATCAGACACCGAAGCACGAGCAATGCAGACCAGTTCCTTTGCAGGTGAAACAGCTGCTGACAAGGAATGGGCACTGGCAGTTGTTGTAAGGCGCCACAGGAGTCCCAGCAGGCCATCTTCCCTCCTCAGAACAACACACAAAGAACAGGAGCAGCGCGGCCCAGCGGTGCCAGGAGGCTGAAAGAAGAGCTGGGGGCACGGGCGGAGAGGTCACAGGCTCCGTTTTAGCCACAGTTTAGTGATGAAAATAACAAGTCCTGCAGGATGAGCACAGGCACCGAGGCTGGTGGCAGTTAATGAAGCAGGGAGCTAACATCAGCCATGCTGAACGAGGCCGCATTGCCCAGATCAGGGCCTCGGTGCCCACCCCACAGGGGCTGCTCCTTAGGAGCACAGCTGCTGCCCACGCTCCTCTCAACCACTGCCATTAATGAATGCCAGTGAGTCGCACAGAATTGTACATTAGGGGAAACAAAAAGGAGAAGAATTTAGTTTTCACTTTTTGTTCACCTGTTCTTTACCTTTTGATGTCACTGATCCTGGGAGATTAAGCAAAGTGATCAAATTCACTTTTTTATTTTTAACCATTTTCACAACCTTTCCCAGACACCAGCACGAGATGCTTACATTGAAACAAGAAGGGGATTGAGCACGTTTCCTAAATGTTCATCCTTAAGAATACACACACTTGGACTTAAACTTCCTGACCCCTTTAAAGTAAGAGATTTTGTCAAGGTCTTTCAATAGCCGTGCCACTTCTGCATTTAAGCACATCGTCTCTGCCACTCTCTGGACTCCATTCTACAGCATTGTATTTTCTGTTCACCATTCAAATGACAAGCTTCCCAAGACAAACGCGACACTTCAGTGAGGAATTTTAACTCTGTAACTCAGACGATGCCACAATCACAGCTAAATGAAAGAAGCAAAAATCAAATCAAATCAAACAAAGAGATCCCATCATCCCCTGCCGCATCCTCCCTCCTCCCCTTCCCACTCAACTAGCAGCTCTGGATTCCATAAAAGAGATCAGAGCGGAGCAGCTCTGGCATACACTGCTAAGCACAAAGTAAAACATATGAGATATGCTACAGTTTGGGTTTGGTTTGTTGTTTTCGCTCGCCCGCTGCAAAGTGCACCAGCACGTTCAAAAACAAAAGTTTAAAATGATCTGCAGCTACCTTTCTGAAATCTGCTCTAACACGCTTTACCCAGCAAGTTCACTTACACACGTTGACTACCAAAATGCTGCAGTGTTTGCCTGGTGGGTTTGTTGACACGTTAGTCAGAAAGCTTCTGTACTTCCTTTGCCCCTCTACGAGTGTGGGCATCATCAAAAGCAAACAAACTTTACACAGCAATAAATTTTTTATTCAAATAAGCTTGTCAGCACCAATTATCTGAACCACAGCTGCCAAATACCAAGAAGCAATTTCAAGAACTCAGGGAAGACACAAAAGCCCTTGTTCTGCTCTAGGAAATACTCAGACCGGGATGAGATTCTGAAACCCTGTGGAAGGATGGAGCAGGACTGGCTGCATTCACAGCAGGACCAGCTCTATCAGCACATTACAACAAAGGACACACCCCTGCTCTCTGCTTTTAGACCACAAACCCAAGAAGCTGCAAGCTCTTCTTTCTTACATATACTCTATTTGCTAAATGTAGCAACACATATGAAACCAAGTATTTTTCACAACCACGATTCTTAAGAAACAGTATTTTAACACGTGGAATAACCTCAGGGATATGCCACACATATATATATATATATGCACAAATGAAATTATATCTTTTTTTTTTTTTTTCCCTTAAAAACATGTTTTACAGTATTATCACAGGAAGGACCACCATGGAAGCCTTCACAAGCTGAAGAGTTCCAGCAACACGAACATGACACAGTTCACACTCAGAACACGTCTCAGTGATACAAGTGGGCAACAAAAATTCCAGAAGAAACTCTCAGCGCATCAAATCAAATCACCACACAGCGTACTTTTTTTTTCTGTAATATTTTATTTATATAGAAATACTTAAAAAAACATGAAGTAGCACCATTACTTAAGTTTTACTTTTATTATGTAGAACTTTAAATGTCAGAAAAATAAAACTCTTGATACAATTTCAAATCTTGTCTCAGCAAATATAATATTAGTATTTGACCATGAGGTTAAAGGCCCTTTATCATAAAATAAAATATACTTTGTTTTTAAACTTTGCTCAGTAAAGTACATTTAAGCTCAAGTAACGTCACCTACATATACATAAACAAGTGGTAAACAAATGTATTAAAATAGAAATACTAAAACTATAGTGGTGCAACAGAATTTTTGTAATTTCCACTGAATTCTATTTATACAAATGTTAGAAAGCTTCAACAGTTCCTTTTGACATATGTTTATACATTTCCATTTTTGTAATAATATAGAATAAAATATGCTTTATATCACTGAATAGAAAATATGCTGGGTGAAGCAGATTTAAAAGATTTTTTCTGAACCTATAAAATCTCCATCCCAACAGAATACTGTTCAAAGCATTACACATTTTATGGTTTGTAATTCCGTTCACAATTGTGTGATATTAAAATAATACAGTGTTCTTTGCCATAAGGCCATACTAAAATAAAAAAGATTTAACCCAGCTACAAAAAAGTTCACTGAACTTAAATTAAAATACTTGTAAACATCTTTGCAATATGAAATATAATTTTTCAAGTCAAAAAAGAATAAAATACTTCAATCTGTATTAATGCAATTTATCTTTAAAACCTTTAAACGTTTTAATATATATAAGAGATATGTTACAGTTTGTTTCATTTTTTTTTCCTTTTTGTTTTTTAAACTTTGATAAAGCTGCAGTATCATGGTTTTCACAGGAACTTCTTGCCCTTTCAAGAACATTCAGAAAAGTATCCACCCATAGATTTAATTATTTTGTAATACGCATCCTAGAAACTACCAGCACGTTTTACTAAGAGTCCACACACCATTGTCATCATCATAAGCATCTCCTACTTTCATTTTTTTTCAACAGTTTTTGTTCTTTTTTTTTTTTTTTTTTTAAAAAAAGGGAAGATTTGGAAGCTTCGTATTAAAGTACAGTGTAAAAACTAGCCTAGCACTAGAATGGAGTCGCCCGTTATTATGTATAGCATGCACCGCACAGCACCCAGCCGGCCGCCGGGCTCAGGAGAAGATGCGGATGGCCTGGGTGACGGCGCTGTGGCACACGGGGCACTGCGGCTCCGTCTTCTCGCAGATGCGGTTGGCGCACTCCATGCAGAAGAGGTTGTGGCCGCAGGGCACCAGCGCCGCGATCACCTCGCTCTCGAAGCACACCGAGCAGTCGCGGCTGCCCTTCCGCCGCACGCCCGACGACGAGCAGGACGAGCTGGATGACGAGCTGGACGAGGAAGAGGAGGAAGCGGATGAATCGGAGGGCAGACCTGGCAGATGGCCGCCCAGCCCGTTGGCGTACAGCGGGTAGGAGGCGGCCAGCAGCCGCCCGCCCGGGTCGCTGCGCACCCGGCGTGCCAGCGGGTGCTCGGGCCCCGCCGCCGCCGCGCTGCCGTGCAGGGGCGGGGAGAGCCGTGCCGGGGGCGGAGCGCTGCCGCCCCGCCTCGGGCCGCTCACCAGCAGCGCCAGGTTGGCATTGGCGGGCGCAGCGCCCGGGAAGGCGGCGGCGGCAGGCGAGGGCGCGGGCGAGGGCGGTGCGGCTGCGGGGCCGCGCTCGAACTGCGGCCAGAGGAGGGCAGCCCCGGGCGGCGGGGCGGGTGCCAGGTCGAAGCCAGGTGGCGAGTCGAAGGGCAGCTCGGAGCAGCAGTCCGGGGAGGAAAGCACATCCCCACCGCCTCCGCTGTAGACGTAACCGTTGGCACTGTTGTTGTTGTTGTTGCCGTTGTGGGTGAAGCTGAGCGCCGGGCTCGGGGGGCTATAGTCGGCCAGGCGGGCCCCGCCGCCCCCCGTGCCACCCCCGAAGTAGGAGTCGGTGGACGCGCTGCCCAGCGAGCTGGAGCTGTCGTTGCGGTAGTTGCAGAAGGGCTTGCGGCCCGGGGTGGGCGTGATGCTGGGCGGCGTGGGCTTGCTCCACAGGCTGCCCGTGCCATTCAGCTCGAAGCCAACATCCGTGCCGTTGGCGTGGAAGTCGTTCTCGTCCGTCAGCTCGATGATGCCGCCGGTTCGCATGGCGATGTGCGCCTCAATCTCCTCCCGTGCCCGGTCCACGTTCTCAGGCATGCCCGTCACCTCGAAGACCGGCTCCTTGTCCCGGCTGGGCGTCACAATGTAGGTGTGCGTCTGCTGCTGGATGCGCTTAATCGTGGCCCCTTTGGGCCCTACGACCAAGCCCACCACGCGATAAGGCACCCGCACCTGGATGGTGGTTTGGCCGGGCAGGTTGGGGGGGCCGGGGACGGTGCCATTCAGGGCTGTGTTCTTGTTCCGCGAGGCTCGGATCATAGAGAAGTGCTCGGCTGCCGAGATGATCTCCCTGCGGGCCATGGCCACATCTTCCTTTCTGCCCGTCACAACAAAGAGCGGCTCCTCCCCGCGCACCGGGGTCTTGATGTAGGTGTTGGTCTTCGCCCGCAGAGCTTTGATTTTACAACCTGGGAACGAGATGCGGGAGACGGAAGGCGAAGGGGAGGGGAAGGAAAAAGCGCGGGGGAGAACCGGTTACAACCCATTCTTTGGGTGCAGTTGGGGGAGGAGGGGGGGGGGGGGGGGAACACACCCACCCGCAGCGCGCTGCCCCTGCCCGGGGCGATGCTGGCACCGCGTCCGGGAGCGATGTGCAACGCGACGGCAGCCACAGCCCTGGCAAGCACCCAGCGGCACCGCGGGCGGCAGCGGCACAGCTGCGGGCACTGCCCGGGAGCTGCCAGCGCGCAGCCCCGAGAGCGGCGGCAACAAAGGGCAGCGTGCAGGGAGGCGGCACGGCCGGAAAGATGAAATGCAGTGCGATGCAATGCGATGCGATGCAATGCGAGCAGCCCGTACAAAGCCGCTGCTTAGCCCGCGTTCCTGCTAAGCGCTTTCCTTTCGGAAAAATAAAATCGGTTCTGAGGAAGGTGAAGAGCAGCGGCCGCACAGAGTGAGCCACGCTCCCCTATGCGGATGCTGTATTGCAATCCCATTGTTCCACTTCCCCGCTCCGTTCCTCTTCCTTAAAAATAACCCCCGGTTTCCCACTTCGGGGGACGAAACCCGCGCCGGGGCTCGTTTTTGTCCTCGTTCCCTTTAGCAAACCCAACTCGTGTAGCCAGATTTCGCGTTCTGCCCCCATCTATCTTCTCCCAGCGCATCCCGGCGCCCGGCCGCGCTCTTTGTCCGCCGCTCACCCACCTTGCCTGCCAACGATCTCCGCGACGTGCTCCGAGCTGGGCACCGGCACGCACTCCGTCATATTCACGCTCTTTTTCCGAGGCTCGCTGTCGTAAATGGAGCCCGCCTCGTCGTTGTCCAGCCCCAGCAGGGAGAGCTGGTCCAGGGCGATCTGCAGGGCTCGCTGGTCATCCAGGGTCTCTCCCCCTCCGCCTCCTCCTCCTCCTCCGCCGCCGCCGCTGCCGTTCCGCTCCATGTCGGCGAAGAGCGAGCTGGGCATGGTCCGCGCCGCGCTGCAGCCGCCGCCTGCGCCGGGCTGGGGCGCGGGGCTCCGACACAAAGGCAGCCCGAGGCCAGCGGGAGCGCGGGGCGGGGGGCGGGCGGCTGCCGCAGCCGGCGGGCGGTCGCCTTTCGCTGGGATATTTTGTATCTTTCTTTTTTTTGTTGTTGTTTTTCCTCCTCGCTCCGTGCAATCCGGTTTATAAGATGGTTTCGGGACCCCCCCCACCGCACGGCTCCCCCCTCGAGGCTTTTTCTTTTTTTTTTTTTTTCCTTTTTTTTTTTTTCCCCTTTTTCCTTTTTTTTTTTTTTTTTTTTTTTTTTTTTTTTTTTTTTGGCTGGGGGTGGGGTGGGGGGGCGGGCAGCGGATAGCGAGAGGAGCTCCGATCGCTTCCCCCCCTCGAGTTCCTCGCCGGCCACAATGCCAGGCGATGGCAGCGTTTCTTTAAGGAGCCCCTCCCAGGCTCCACTCCACTCACTCAGCGTTTTTTCCTCCTCTCCCCTCCTCTGTCTGAGGCACCGCCGCAGCCAGACGGCCCGGGAGAGGCGGAGGCAGCGGGCGGAGGGCGGGGGCGCGCCGGGCGCCGGCCGCTGTCAGCCCCGCGCCGCCGCCGCCGCCGCCGTCGCCGCGCGCTCCCATTGGCCGCGGGCTGCGGAGGGGGGAGGGAGCGCGGGGAGGGGCGGCGCCGGGCCCGCGCCGCTCTTTGTTGTCGCGCGGAACAATGCCGGGCCTCAGCCCGCCCCGCAGCAGCCGGACCTGCCTCGGCAGCGCGCTGATCGGGGCCGGTTTATTCCGTCCTCCCCCTTTTTTTTTTTTTGGTCTTTCCGCCCTCCCTTTTATTCGACCGAGGGGGGTGTGTCGACTCACAGCGCTTTGTCTCCCCGTTAAGGAGCGGTGCCCGAACGGTCGCCCTGGAAGGAGGCAGCGCCCCGGCCACACCGCCGCCACAGCGCGGCCGCACTGCGCCTGCGCGCCCCTCCCCCCCGCCATGCGCACTGCGGGCCCGGTGCCCTCGGCGGAGCGGGGTGCTGCGCGCCCCTTTGTGGGGCTCCCCGAGGGAACTGGGGCGCCGCCCTGAGGGCGCGGGGCCGCCCCTGAGGGCTCTGCGGGAGCCTCGCGCTTCCCTCGGGCGCGGGCGGACGAAGACGCCGAGCCGGGGGGCGTGGCGGCCTCGAGCCTTCACCGGCCTTCCCCGCTCGCCGGGCTTTGCTGCGGCGCTCGGCGGGGCGGCGGTACAGCGGTGTGTCCGCCGACCTCCTCGCCGGCCCTGCTCGGTGCTGCACCGGTGGCACACGCTGCGCCCGGCCCCGCGGCTTCCAAAGAGGGAGGGGTTGAGAAGAACGCACCGCGCCGAGCTGCTCCGGCGCAATGTCACCAGCGCCTCGGAGCCGCCAGACAACAAAGCACCCGCCGGGCCTTGCGCACCCACACCCGGGCGGGCAGAGCAGCTCTTAATGCAGGTTCCCTGACAAAAACCTTCCCGTGCGCTGCTGGAGGGACGTTGCGGCCACCGACCTCGTAAAAACACTGCCCTCACGTGTTGGGTTCCAGGTTTTCTCCAATGCCTACCGCTAAAGAGCCCGTGTTCTCTGCGCCCTTGCCAACTATCATGGGCAGAAGTCCTCCTGCAGAGAAAACCAAACACCAAGTAACTATTTTACAGTATCCAGGTGGATGGGGACAGGAGTTTACAAGTCCCCCCCCAGAGCTGCCCCACAAACAGCTAACGAGATGCAGGTACTCGTTTACATGCAGTGTTTATTGCCAATGACTGCTACTTCCTCAGGATGTTTGCATGCTTTGTAACAAAGCCCCAGCAGTTTGTTTTCCATCAAGGGCATTTACTCTAGGGGTGTCCTTTCCCAACTGCTGAGGTCGTCCCCTCTGCTGAGGAAATTCTGTAGTTTCATATTTTAAAGATTTCCTACTTTGCACATTTACACTTCCAGCAGCGATGGTGTCTGTGTGGGAGAATGATCTATTACTTACAAAGGCTCAAGGAGCCTGAAACATGTTACTATTCTGAGCACTGAACATCTTTTTAAAACAAAAAGCAGATGGACGTAACCTTCAACGGCAATAGAGATAATGCTCCTTATTATTAAATAAAAATGATAACTCTGCTTCTCTAGAGTCCTTTTAACTCTGGGAACCCAGAATCTGACAGAGGATATCTGTACCCATTTAGCAGATGGAGCAGGACAGGACAGAAGTGAGGGGACTGTACCCTTGAGACAAAGGCACGTCAATATAAAGGATTGCTCTTGTTGACATCTAAGATACCAAAATGCAAAGATATGAGCGGAGCGGTTGGGACGTACTCGGATTTTACCGTTCCTTGTTTTGTTTCATTCTCCTTTCTTCTCCCCCGCTTCCCCTCACATCTAAACCTGTGACTGGGTTTCTGTCCCAGTTCCCCATGACTGATGAGCAAAAGAAAAACAGGTTACCCTCACGTTTATGTTCCTCTCCAAAGAAAATGTTATTCTCAAGCAAGATCCATACAAATCTAGCTTTATATTTTAATGTTAAGCTGGAAGCACTAATTAAAAATATCTAAAATTAAATTTAGCCCCTTCTGTAGAAGAAGCTTTCTGGGAAGGAAGAGGCAGACCAGCAAACTAAGAGTGCCGGTGTTTAAAACTGGTGTTTTAAGCCTCCTAGGAACCCTGTGGAATTGTCCAACATCTTGAGGGCTATTGCTTTTCTTCCTAACTGTTTTTGAAAACATTTGAGGTCAAACTACATGGAATAAGAACAATAGCACAGTTAGGCTGCTGTACATTAAAACATGCATACACCAAGTGCACGGTGCCCTGGGAACACAATCTATGCACTAGCATGCTCAGGTGGCAACAAGGAATACACACAAGACTGACGTGAATGTACTGCATAAAAGTAATTCTTCAGAATAACTTGATCAGATCTAAATTAAAGAGTATCTGTTTATAATCCTTTTCATCCCATACAACCTTGAACAATATGCAGAATTATAGTAAAGTCCATCTCTGGGGGAGAGACCAACCAGCTACCAATTAACAGCAAGTTAACAAAAGCAGGAAGGGAGGATATATTACAGGCAAATACAGGACTTATTGCAAGAGGAGTGTAACTCTCAGTCCTTTATGTTTCTCTCTTTTATCATTTCCCATTTGTGACAGAGGTAATAAAACTTCCTTCCTCCAACCTTTATTTAATTAGAGTGTAAGGTCTTTGGGGCAGTGAGCTTACAGTATGTATACACAGCTCTGAGCGTGAAGAGGTCATGAATTAATCCCAGGCCTTTAGCTGCTACTCTAAATATAAAGCATTAACAATAATAATAGAATATAATTTTCATTTAGAATAAATGGGATCTGCATTTTTGATGCATCTTCACAAGGAATAAATCACAAAGAATGCATCTCAGGAATGACTAAATTAAGGGACGAGGAAATCTCTTCATACCAGAGATTTGCCACTCTACTCTATCCCACATCCCTACCCCAAAGGACACTACCTGCATACTGTTACACCACTTACTCTGAAGTTCTTATTTACCATAATCTTGCAAAACAGTGCCCCAAATCCCACAGGCCAGATTATCAATCAGATTGGGAGTACAGGTTGGTTTTTTTGTTTTTTTGTTTTTCCCCAAGACAGTGCACATGATTACTGTGATAACACACCCAAATTAAACTCTTGCCTCTGCAACAAGCAGCAATTAGCAATCTGCAGACAACTGACAAGTTCCTTCGTTTCCTATAATACTTAACAATACAGAAGCCAGATTTCCTATTGAATCCCATATTAACCTACATTCAATAGCCATGAAATCTCAGAGTGCCGTGTCAGAATTTGTCATCTTTGATGATGCTAGCTCAGCCCTTCACACCTCTAGATGAGATATATACAAACAATTCATCCAGAATCTGAATTGCAGCTGAAAATGTCTATTATTTTCTACTACTTGTTCCATCTACACTTTCACTACTTGTTTGGGTGTTTCATGCTAAGGGATGAGCAGAACTCTCCAAACACTGTGGCTGTGTTAACAAACTAGAAGAAATAAAAAGGAGATGGAATAGAGAGCGATTTAGTGATACATCTGTCTGGGAGATGGAAGCAGCTGGGGGGGGGGAAGATGCAAAGTGCCCCTTTCCCCTGTGATACTGAGTGTCATGTCTAGAAATACAAACAGGGAGATGGTGCTGATGGCTTTCTCTGTCAGCACTCTCATCCCTATAACTCTACACCTCTCCTTGTTACAAAACTACAAAACTAATTTGCCTTTTTTTTTTTTTTTTAATAAAGCAAAGATCTTCTGAGACAACTCATGAAAAGAATTTTGCCCAATCCAGAAAGTCTCAGACCTTTAAAGGTCACAAAGAGTCTCAGAAAAACATTGATACTGTAAAGTTTTGCTAGTTGCTAGTGGCTTTACTGAAATGTTTCTTCCTAGTATATCAAAATGAAAAAGATTTTTGTAATGGCCATCACATGCTCTGCTTTCTTCACATGCATTTGCTATGCGTTTGACAGCAGTGATCAGAGTGTGGCTGTGTGCAGGGGATAAACTGCCTTATAAGAATGCAGTCTTGTTTAACGCGAGTGATGGAAGGCAATTCACAACGCCTACAGATGCCTTTATAATAAATCAGAAGTAACCATCTAGAACAGCTGCCCATTTTAAAGCTCTCTCCACTTGGAGTCTAAGTGGCCTCCTTCACTTAGTGCTCCATTCTGCCTCTCTGTTAAGAACAAAGGTTATCGCACTGCGTAGCCAGTTAAACGCTGTTCAGCAGTAGTGCCGACCAGAGTTCAAACCTGAAAACCCATCCTGCCTTCCCCCTGCTCTCACATGATGCAGCAGGGCCGGGCTCCCGGCTGCTCTGTGCGCAGGTCTCAGTGCAGCACTGCGCTGAGCGGGATTGGAGCTCTTTGTTACCAGGGCCCTTGGGCTGGCGCTCAGTGGGTGATGCAGTGCTGGCATCTCATATCTGTAATATACCCATCGCAGTGCTGGGTCTGGGCTATTAAGCAATAGATAGATTAAAAAAAGGATTTACATCTGTATGTTTAGACTGAGCTAGGTGATGCATAGATCTGAGATAGCTCATAACCGAGGGTTTTTTCGATCAGTTTTAATCTAGGAAACAGTAAATTATATTTTAATTCACTTTCAATCTCTGAAATAGTTAATTAAAATTACAGTCATAAAACACGTCGCCTTTGCTTCCCCTCCCCCCAGTCTTAGTGCTGTTATCAGAAGGATAACACAATTGTTCTTTAATGCTAATTGTTTATAAACTCCCTTGTAAGAGACCATAAATATGCAAAATGCCT